TCCCTACCGCAGATAGAAATAATACTTGTGATCACAGCATCTGAGGCCTTTTCATCTAGTCCGGCCAGAAAAGCATAAAATCTAGTTGGAGCACCACTTGACTGGCCTCCACCTCTAGGACGGCCCCTACCCACTTTCCTTCTGCCTCTAGCAACCGGACGACTAGTGGGATAGCTAGTACTATAATCATAGGTTGTTGACCCTATTATAATGCCTTGCCCCAAAGCCTAGGGTAGAACTTCCGCACGTGACTGAGGTACCGGCAATATAAACGACCTCTCGATATACGGAATGGTGACTTGAAGTCTGACCCTGATGGCCTGAAAACCCACTGAAGGAACCGTGGATGGCTGCTGGTCAGTAAGAACTCTTTGGCATGGCACTGAAATAGGGTTTTACTAGAGCATCTCGAGGTGGTGGTCGTGCTGGATATGTGGGCCTGATGGACTGACCCTTCACGATCTGACCTCTACCCCCAGTTGGGGCATCTCTGAACTCTCCGTAATAATTTGAAATCTCTTCTCCCTCATATCCTGCTCTCGGCTACGCTGACGTACACCCTCGATCCTTCGAGATATCTCCATAACTAGCTCGTAAGAAGTCCCCATCTTGACCTCTTAGGCCATAGTGGCCGGATTACCAGTGTGCAATCCCACAACAAACCTCCACACTCTCTGCGCATCAGTATGAAGTATCATAAGTGCATGGCGAGAAAAATCATAGAACCTCACCTCATAGTCGATCACTGACACCTGACCCTACTGGAGCTGCTCAAACTGAAACTGCAACTCTTCCCTCTAAGAGGGTGGAATATACCTATCTAGAAAAATATGGGTGAACCTGTCCCAAGTCATGGGAGGACAATTTGCTGGTCTGCCAAGAAGATAGGACTACCACCATTTACGGGCCCTACCCTCCAGCTGGAAAGTATCAAAGTCCACTCCATGGGACTCCAATAACCTCATGTTGTGCAGTCTATCCATGCACTATCAATGAAGTCCCGGTCATCCTCATGTTGCTCACCTCCAAAGAATGGAATATGTAACCTGGTGCATCTGTCCAATAGCTTATGCGACTCATCGGCCTCACCTGGTCTAGGCTCGGGTATAGCCACTGCCACTGGCTGGGCTCTGCCCACGGATAGTTCACCTAGGTTTTGATATACGACAGCTGCATGCCCTGGAGCCTGAGCGGTAGGGTTTTGCGCTCTCCCTCCCGCTTGTGATATGGCAAGTCTCATGAAAATAAACCAATATGAGTCATAGTATCCATGAACCGTAGCATATGATCCATGACGTCATGAAATTCCGGTGCTGACATAAAATCTACCAGGGCTGGCTCTGCTGCAGGTACCTCACTGTGCTCCTCAATAATAGGATCATCTATTGGATCCACGTGTGGAACAGCCGGAGCAACTCTGTGACGTCATTTTACTACAGGTAGGAGCCCTCCCTCGGCCTCTGCCTCGGCCTCTAGCAATAGGGGGAGAAACTCCTCCTTAATCTGGAACATCACCTCCGCGCGTTCTCACCATCTATGAGAGAATAAGAGAAAGAGATTTAGTACCACATCAATTGCACGATATGAGATGGAAAAGGAGTAGTTTCCTAACACCCTACAGCCTCTCGAAGATAAGTACGGACATCTCCTCACCGATCTGCAAGACTCTATTAGGCCTGCTCATAACTTTTGAGACCTACATGAACCTAGTGCTCTGATACCATATTGTCACGACCCAATTCTCTTATAGGCCATGATGGCGCCCAACGCCGCGCTAGGCAAGCCAACAGTAAACTAACCATGTGATGTCCCTTTTTTAAAAAAAATTCAAGTAATTAGGTTTTTCCTTCATTAAATGATTTAAGAAACAATAGCTTTTAATGAATAGAACAAAAACAACTGAGTGCAAATCATAACCATATTAATAATCCAAAACCACAAGTCTACTAGTGTGTACCAAGACCTGGTGTCACAAATGTATGAGCACTAATAGATTATACAAAACTCTAGCTACTGTCTGAAATCAAAAATTGACAGGAATGAAAGTAAAGAAGAGACTCTAGGATGTTGCGGAACGGCTCAGGAAAGTAGCTCACCACTAGGCCTTCGGATAACAAGGGTGCGTCCGATGTGATCGGGAGATGCACCTGCCTCAGATCTGCACGGTCAGTGTAGAAGTGTAGCGTGAGTATATAAACAACATGTACCCAGTAAGTATCAAGTCTAACCTCAAAGAAGTAGTGATGAGGGATCGACTTCGACACTTACTATGGGCTAATAATCTAAATACAGAAATTCTAAATGAACATGGGATATCTAAATAATAATAATAACTCATTGGCAAGCAAGAACAAGTAATTATTTCAAAAATAATTAAATTCAAAGTAAATTCCTGTCATTAATACTTATAACCTCACAAACCACAAATAATATCAAGCATGATTAGGCTCCGAGTATTATTAAGTACGAATTATGCCAAGGTCGTACGATCTGATCTAGTATAACGTGTACACTGTAGAGGGGCATGTGGCACGATCTCGAGATGCATCTATTCTATTGCCAAGGCGTTCAGCTCGTGCCACAAAAATTTAGGATACTTTATAAGCAATTGACTTAACATTCTTACAAGGCTAATACATAATGTAAACAAGTTCCATTAACGGTCAAGTAACCGGCCAAAAACTCAAGTAAGTTAAATTCGGTCTTTTACAATTCCTTTATTAACTTTCAATATGATTTAGACAATTTAACTAACAAGTAGGTCACAAACATTACAAGTGTTTCATGATTTGGGTCCTAAACTACCCGTACATAAGCATAATTAGTAGCTATGCACGGACTCTCGTCACCTCGTGCGTACGTAATCCCCACAAATAGAAGGAAATATCAATCTAAATAACCTATGGGGTAAATTCCCTATTACTAAGTTAGGCAAGAGACTTACCTTGTCTCAATACTTTCCGGTCACAACTTACTCCTAATGTCTCAACTCGGTGCCGAACAATCTAAAACTAGCCAAATATTATATAAAATAATCAATAAATGCTAAAAAGTTCATATTCTAGCTATTAGAGTGATTACCCAACCCCAATTGAAGATTTCTAAAATTCACCCCCGGGCTCTGATTCCGGAATTTTTGAAGAAAGTTCTTACCCATAACCTCACGAACTCAAATATATAATTTTCATCCAATTCCATAACTATTTTGGTGGTTAAATCCCATTTTTTATCAAACCCTAAATTTTTATCTAAACTCAAAATTTTCACAATTTTATCGGTTAAAATCTTCCCATAATCTATGTATTAAAGTCAAATTAGGTAGGAATTACTTACCTTCAAAAGCTAGATTGAAATTCACATCTTTAAATCTCCAAAATCCCCAAGAGTGTAATAAATGAACTCAAAAATGGCCTGAGTCCCAATTTAAAACAACATTGCCCACCTGCCCCTTCTACTCCAACGCAGAATGGGCCTCGCGTTTGTGAAGGCAAAGCTCCCCAGGCCCAAAAAAATTCCTATCACGAACGTGGAGGCATGCTTGGCCTACACTACGTGAACACGAGGGCTCCTACGCGAACACGAAGCGTAACGGGTACTGACCCGCCTTGGCTCCTTTCTTCTACGCGAACGCGTAGGCCTGGGATCTCAAAGCTTCGCAAACGCGGCCTCTTGATCGCTAACGTGATGAACAAATTACCCCACTGCCCACATTCTTCATCGCGAACACGTGGGTCCTTCCGTGTTCGCGAAGAAGGAAACTGGAACTGGAATTTCTGGTTTTTCTAACATAGCTCTGGGCGGTCCGAAACCCACCCGAACTATTCGGGACCCCATCCAAATACACCAATAAGTTGATAAACATAATACGGACCTGCTCGAACTCTCGAAACGCGTAAAATAATGACGAAACTAAGTATCGCACCCTAAAACCAAATTGAATCAAAATATGAACTTCAAGTTTTTAATTCACTCCGAACGCACCGAATCATTCTTAGACTACTCAAAATGACACAAAATTTTACGAGCAAGTCTTAAATCACCATACAGAACTATTTCCAGGTTCGAAATCCCAAATGGACCTCGATAACACCAAAAGCTATACCAAACCAAATTTAACGAACTTTAAAACCTTCCATGAGCTAACTTTCACCATTAGGCGCTGAAACGCTTCCGAACATATGCCTAAGTCCAAAATCATCATACGAACCTATTGGAACTGTCAAATCCCGATTCCGATGTCATGTACTCAAAATGTTGATCACCGAAGTCAAACTTAGACTTTTAAAGCCAAACTAAGGAACTAAGTGTTCCGATTTCAGTCCGAAACCCTTCAAAATCTCGAACTAACCATCTCCACAAGTCATAAAACAGTAAAAGCACATATGGAAAGTTTTATTTAGGGGAACATAGTTCTAAAAATCAAAACGACCGATCGGACATTACAACAAGAATGTCGATTCTTTGAAGTTGGAGGAAATGTCTGATTGTTAAGCCAAAGTTGGAAGGAAAACATGATTTTCACCCATCAGTCTGAGATAAAACGAATATATTTCTGCATTTTGGTGGGGTATTTATTTCTTTCGAAAAATGCATAATAATTAACTTGGTTTAATCAATTGACCTACATATGAACAATTTATTACATAAAAGAGACTACAAAAATATCAAAAAAATAAATAATTCTACCCCTAAATAAGACTTTCTTAAGGATTATATTGTGAACTTATTATGTGGGACGGTCTTAGGAATGCATAAGTGCATGAGAAAATTTTAGACCTTATTTTTTTTTATTTTGGAAAAAGAAAATAAATAGTAGTCAAATTAAAAGTAAGTGTACTATGAATTATGACTCGCCAGTACTATGTCCCATTCCTGAGTACATCAATTAGAAGACTCTCGTGCATTGATCCTTCCCTTTGTAGACGATAACTAAGAAAATACTATATCACAAAGGCAAATTCCATAAAACAAAGATAATAAATATTACATGCACAACCTCATATAATAAAATTGCAGTTTATTACACCATGATCAACTAGCCAGTACATGAGGAGTACAAGTACTAAGGAAAAATAAAGAAACCAAAAGAGAAAGTACTCAACGACTTGTCTTTATTATACTTAACACACTAGGCAACTAATTTTGTGGAAACCAAATCGTATCAGTCGAATAATTAATCATATGGTGAAGCAATTAAGTACAAGTTGTTTTTCTTTACAACATTAGCACCAAATTTCTCAGTCATATCTAATTCCTCTGAATTCATACCATTTGGAAGTTTCCAATCAAAATGGTATAGTAATCTAGCTAGAGTAAGCTCAAGGGTTGCTGTACCAAATGACATTCCCGGACAAGCTCTCATCCCGAATCCAAATCCCAAGAACTCAAAAGGAATTGATACTTCGATAACATTATTGAACCTCTCGGGCTCAAATTTTTCTGGATCATGCCAATATTGATGGTCCCTTCCCATTGCCCACATATTCACAAGGGCTATAGTTTTTTTAGGTATGATATACCCATTAAGCTCGCACTGCTCTATTGATTCCCTAGGTAAAGACAATGGACCAGGAGGATGAAGCCTTAGAGTTTCCTTAACTACCAATTTCAGGTACTTCAGATTTTGAATATCACGTTGATCAACTATTTTTCTTCCTTTGAAGATCTCTCTGACTTCAGCTTGCACTTTTTTCATGACAGACGGATTCTTTATTATTTCAGACATGGCCCATTCCAATGCAGTTGCTGATGTCACAGTTCCGGCAGCGAACATATTCTGTAGGTGCCCAATCGATAAGCAATTTTAGGGTTCATTTGTAGCCAAATATAATAAATAAATAATAATACTTCTTAAGAAGAAGAAAGGGTGTTGGGGAAGAGATTGACATGAAGATCTAGGTAGTACTTACCAAGAGTATAGCTTTGATGTTATCTCTTGTTATAGGGATTTTAAAATTGTGGCTCTCCTTGTCTTTAAGCCTTAAAAGAAGGTGCAAAAGATCTTCTTTATCAATGGGCTCACCGTTATTTCTTTCTATGCTAGCTTCGTGTTCACGAACAATTTCTTCAAGTAGGAGATCACATTCTTGATGCAATTTAACTAGCTTTTGCTTGGATCCTATGATGAACTCAAGAAACTTGAGGGACGGGAACAAATCTAAGATATTGAAAATTCCTGCGAGACTTGCTATTCCTTTTATTGCAAAAATTAATGAGTCCGAATTGTTACAGACCATTCCAACTGAAGCTTTGCAAATAATAGCACAAGTGAGCGAGTTAAGACATTCATTCATATTGATTGGCGTACCACCAGCAGCTGAGACCTGTATAGATCTAACTAAGCCCGAAATCTCTTCCTCCATTAGAGGATAAGTCGAGTGAACCCTTTTCGGACTTAGGAGCTCTAACATCCAAAATTTGCGCATTTGCCTCCAGTAATCACCATATGGAGCAAAAACCATGTCTCTATTATTGTACGTAATGGTCTTCGAGACAAGGATCTCCGGCCTATATGCAAACGTGGTATCGCTTGTTTTTATCACTTCTTTCAGCATTTTATAAGATGATATGACAATAGTTGAACGCTCGCCTAGTTTTAGGTGCATCAAAGGTCCATGTTTCTCAGCTAATTCCTTGAGTGCAACATGGGGCAGAGAGCTTCCAGCCAGCTGATGTAAATTTCCAACGAGTGGGAGTTTCCATGGTCCTGGAGGCAATCTTTTTTGCCCTATTTTGATGAATAATACAATCAGTAAAGGTAGGACAAAGAGAAAGATGATAATGAAGAAAGAGACTTCCATATTGGAATAATTGACTTAATAACTCAGAGAGGTTGGTAATGACTACTTTACTTGTGTCTAATTTATCGGCTTCTCGGCAAGATATAAAAGATCCAAGAAATGGGATAGGAAGAAAAGGTAAGTTTGCTTTTTTTTTTGGGGGGGGAGGGGGTAGGGGGTGTTTGGAGCAGAGAAAGAAAAGAAAAAAAATTACGTGGAAAAAACGTTTTTTTGAAGCAAAAGATATTATATTACTAATAAGAGGAACATTACAAAGTTCTTACATAGTCCCTAAGGACATTTTCATTGCCAAACTTGGCTAGTTTTTCAAAAACAGTAGTAACAACATACTTAGAGCTAATACTATAGTCATACTTGTCCTTTAGCACTTGAGATTCGGCAAAATAACATTTCCTTCCCTAAAGTTCTGCCTCAGGATTGAGTGCTTCAACTGGTGCATTAATGACCTGCATTCAAAAATTAGATTAGAGAAGTTAGGGTTATTTTCATTAAGTAATGATATGACATCCGTTGAGTCTGTCTCTATATCAATGTTAGAAAGATCGAGTTCCTGAGCAATTTTCAATCCTTCATGCCATTAGTTCACAGTGTGTGACAGATGAAGCATAGGTTGACTTGCAGTAGCCGAAGATCCAGTCTCCATTATTGTTTCTGAAAACACCACCAAGGCCAGCTTCCAGTGTAGATTTGGAGAAAGCTCCATCAACATTCAGCTTGATTATATTTTGGGGTGGTTTGTTCGATCTGATCTCAATTAAAATCCTGCTTTCTTTGAAGGGGTTTTTTGTTTGTGAAGAAGTTATATTCCAAGCTTGTTGTAGAATGTCGGTGTGATGAACCTTATAGTTAAGGTTATTTATGTTGTTGTTGTTGTTTCTATTTTTTCAGATATTTCAAATGGCGAAGGGGAGAATAGTCCTTCAGTTATTTGAATAAAAAAATTTTGAGTAAAAATCTCTTTTAGGCTCAATAACCACTGGATACCTTCTTTTAACTGCAAAATTGGGATGCCCATATTTTCCCAACAAGATTGAGTGCCGGGGCAGTAGATGAAAATGTGTTGTGCATTTTCAACGTTATTTCTACAAATGGTGCAAACCTTGTGTATGTTCATTCCAATGTGGGATAAAAAAGCTCTGCATGGGATATGATTATTATCACACCTCTTTTTTCGCCCGCGCCGATCCCGAAAGAAGCGCGGAAGGGAGTTTTTTCCAATTAAAGGACAATCGAAACGAGATTTATTTATTTATTTCAGAGTCGCCACTTGGGAGATTTATGGTGTCCCAAGTCACCGGTTGAATCCGAATCGAGAAAATTATTGACTCTGTTTAACAGTCTGCGTGTCAGATATCCGGATAAGGAATTCTATTAATTCGGGAGAAGGTGTTAGGCATTCCAGAGTTCCATGGTTCTAGCACGGTCGCTCAACTGTCATATTCGGCTTGATTATCTGATATAATACATGTTGAACATATGTGCG